GACGCGAAGATGGTGGAGGAGAGAATACCGAAGATGGAGATGTCAAGGACGAAGCAGCTGTTGAACTTGGTCAACGTAAAGATTTGGTTCAAAAGGACTAGACAAGAGAGATCAAACTTTACTGCTTCAGATCTTTAACTCTGCACTGCCAAAGGATTGGGTTACCCTTGATTCTTCCTAAATTCGTTTTATAAGTTTATAGGTTTAGAACAGAGTTCCCTCTTAAAACTTATGGTCTGTTATATGTATTCCGCAAGTTCTTTAACTCATGCAACTATGCATTATGTTTGTAATCGAAGGGTGAATAACATTCTATTGCAGTGGAGAAGTATTCACTTGTCACAAAGACATCAAAAACAACATTTCTCTTCTACGTTTAACAAAAAACTCTCATGACTACGTCTAACAAAGAACAATATCAGAAAGTATTATAGAGTAGTAACGTAACATATATCGCACCGTATCATAACGTGAAGTAATGAAAGTTCCTAAATAGAAGATTAATGGTAAGAAAACCCAATATAAAAGAAATTAAATCCAAAACCCAATATAAAAGAAATTAAAGCTCAAACCAAATCCAAAAACAAAGCTCAAATTAAATCCAAAACAAGAAAATGATTATATGTTTAGATTTTATCTTGTTAAACTTTAATATATAAAATAGATAATCTATCCATATCTTATAAAATAGTTGAAATGTTAAAATTTGTTTTTCTTTATAAAAAAAAAAAAAAAATCGAATCAATTTTGATTTATTAAGAATACAGCTTTTGGAAAAAAAATTCATTTTACTTATTAAAAATTGTAGTTTTCACTAAAAAGTAGAGAAAGGTATATTTTTCAAACAAAAACACATAAATAGAGTAGTTCTCAAAATCTCCCAAAAAAAGTATATATTTGGAATAAAAATTCATTTTACATATTAAAAATTGTAGTTTTCATTAAAAAGTAGAGAAAGGTGTATTTTTCAAACAAAAACTCATAAATAGAGTAGTTTTCAAAATCTCCAAAAAAAAAGGTATATATTTAGCTTAGCGCTATAGTGGATCGAAAAAGTCAAAACAATGTAGATTTCCTCTTTTGGGCTTAAGACCCTCTTCTTCGTTTAGAGTATCTCAATCTAAAGAAGATAGAGTTATTGGCGGGAATAAACAACTTTCCCTTAGACTAAACTCACCGTTTTTCTTCTTTGCTAAAGATATTTGTGTGAATCCTCTTTGGTTTTTAGGGGTTCTGCATCTTTCGTTATTTCATTGTAGCTCAAAATCCATAAATTTCATCTTCCCCTTTTTTCGATCATTTTCTTCGGTTGTTTTTCTTGTATCTATGCGGTGTGGTGAAGAGAGGATCTCTGAAGGCTCTCGTCTAGTAAAGGATAGAGAGATTTTTATAAATATACTAAATTATATAAGAAATTTGAAAACTACAATAAGTGATATAATAATTTGAATAGTACTCTTTTTATAATAAAAATTTACCATAATACCCTTTCATTAATTTAAGTAGTATTTAAATTAATAAATTAAAAATAATATAAAAAAAATTAAAATAACTAAAATTCGTTTTTATTTATTAATAGTAAAAATCAAAAACGTTTTTACAATGTTTGGAGTAATCATATATTATCTAAAATTTTGAATAGATAAAAAATAAAAAAATATTATTGTTCATAATAATATTTAAATTTTTAAATTACTTAAAATTAATAATTAAAAAATTCTATAACATATAATAAATAAATAAATAAATTCTTCTTATTTTTGGTAAATTTATTCATTTTATGTCGATTTATTGATAAAGTCGTATTTTTGATCTTTCGACTTATTTTTCACTTTTGTTGACTTAATTTTTTTTCTAGTCGACTTATTTTAAAACACTTGACTTATGTTTTAACTAGTTGACTTATTTATTTTGTTTATTGATTTATAAGTTTTGCTGTCGACATGTTTATTCATGGTAGATTTAATTCATTCTATGTTGACTTACTAATAAGGTCGATTTTTAAACTGTCGACTTATATTTTATTTCGTCGACTAAATTTATTTTCTATAGACTTAGTTTAAAATAGTCGATTTATATTTTGGTTGATTGATATTTTACACAGTCGACTTTTTTAAACTATTGAATTATTTAATTTTATATCGATTTATTGATAAGGTTGATTTGTTGAACTGTTTGACTTATATTTTATATTTGTCTACTTAATTTTATTCTCTATTGACTTATATTAAAACAGCTGACTTGTATTCTGGTTAATTGATTTTTTACATTGTCGATTCTTTTGAACTATTGATTTGTTTTTTATTGAACAGAGATAATTATTTTTAGTTATAATATTTAAATTAGTAATTTATTTTAGGATAATTAAATTTATATAATTTATATTTGTAATAAATTTAAAATAAATATAGTGCATATAATTTAGATTTGGTCTCACCCATACAATCTGCCTTTGTGGAGGAGAGAATAATCTTTGACAACATTTTAATAACCCACGAAGTGATTCATAGATTGAGAACCCATGATTCTTTGTCTAAGGAGTATATGACCATCAAGACATACATGTTAAAGCCTTTGATGGACTTGAATGGAGCTACATGCGTTCCCTTCTTACTATTTTGGGTTTCGACTTGAGATGGGTTGAGATGGTGATAGTTTGTGTTTCTACTGTTCTTTACACTATTCTTATCAATGGTGAACCCCATGGTCTTTTGGTCCATCAGTGTGGTCTCAGACAGGGGGATCCCCTATCTCTTTCTTGTTTGTGCTATGCACGGAGGGATTAACACACATACTGAACAAGGCTGAGCAACAAGACCTTATTGATGGGATGCGTTTTTCTGATAATGGTCCCTCTATTCATCATTTGCTATTCGCTAATGATACTTTGTTTGTTTGTAAGGCGGATTATGCACAACGTGGAGTTATCCAAAACATTTTGCAGATTTATGGCAAAACTACATGGCAATTCATCAACCTCGATAAAGCTCATTCTGAGACGCTTCTGCTTGCTCTATCACTCATCCTGATTGAAGAGTTGTCTTACAAGATCGAAGAGCAAACAATACTGCTTTCCTTATAGCAAAGAGTGTTACAATAAAAGGCCGATCGCAATCATATGTATCTCAAAGCTACCCGTTTTAATTACAGAAAGTGTTTGAAAATGATAAATACATTACATAGATATAATGAGTGCCTCGTTTCTCTTTTGTATTGTGAACTTTTTGGTTTTATATCATATAAATTATTTAAACGTAAAAAAAAAAAAAAAAAACTTAGCGCTATAGTTCGTGATTTGTTTGAAAGAAAAAAATGATTTTTCTAGTAACTTGGGGAGTTGGGAGAAAAAGATACGAGGCCATATTCGTCATTTGATAGAGTGATATTTTTCTATAGTAATCAGTTTTTGTGGTTAACGGCTCTTGTCAAGTCCAAATTGTGTAAACAATTTCTCTTCCTAATAATCTTCCAAGACTTGGATCACCCTAACTTCTTCTTCAATCAAATGGCACATTTCTCTTCGAGACTTAAGCTTCTCTCAAGCAACGATGGATTGTCATTTGGTGTAGATTCCAGAGACCAATTTCGGCAAAGCCTTTACATGGCCGGTGGTGGAACTCCTTTGGTTTCAATACGCAGGAGCCGATTAAAGTTTTGTGCAAGAATTTTCTCGTCTTACTCTTTTCCTTACAAGAGAAAGAAAATTAGGGATTTCGATAACACCGAGAAAAATCTTGGTATTGATGAAGACAACGATGACTGGGATTTTGATGGAGACGATGATGTTTTAGAGACTGATGATCTTTCTTGCTTCAGAGGCTTGGTTCTTGATATTTCATACAGGTCAAAATCTATATTTATTGTTGCTAAGAAGCATTAGTTTTCTCTTTGTTTATTGTTGGTATAAGCATTAGTGTTCTCTTTGTTTTAAGTTCATGCAAATTTGAATTCGCTAATTCGAAAAATTGGTAGGATTGTGTCACTGGCCTAAATTAGTTGTGACACTGTAGGCCGGTCAATGTGGTTTGCTGGAAGCGCGCAATCTGTCTCGAGTACATGGATAAGGTCAGGCCATAAAGCTTTTAACCTATTTTTGATGCTTATTTGATACACAAGAATCCTTAATTAAGGTTTTGTACATTCGATAATGCCTTGTCTAGGCCGACGTTTTGGAGTATTATGATCAGACTGTTAGTTCTCCTACTGGTTCATTCTATATACCAGCTGTATTAAGGGTATGTAGAACATGAGTTTAGTTAGCCAGTTTTTATCCCTTTTTACCAATTTGACGCTTACTTCATTGTGTTGCTTTAGGTTCCACATTTGCTTCAGGTTGTTAAAAGAAGAAGAGTGAAAAACTCACTAAGTCGTAAAAATATATTACTGCGAGACGATTATACTTGTCAGTAAGTAATTTTCTGTCTAGTTTGAGGAAGTTCTCTCTTTTTGTTAGATCAAACTATTCTTGTTGACTGAAGTTTTGTTATATGGGATATAGATATTGTTCTTCCCGTGAAAACTTGACCATTGATCATGTTATGCCGGTTTCTCGAGGTGGAGAATGGAGCTGGCAAAACCTAGTATGTGATTGATATTGCAGTTAGCATCTATGCTGTGAATGTAATAGCCAATTATATTGAAAAATTATCTTCTTTAATTGGTTCATATAATAGGTAGCTGCATGTTCGAGATGTAACTCAAAGAAAGGTCAGAAGACAGCAGAAGAAGCACACATGAAGTTACTCAAGGTCCCGAAGGTATTACTTCTCATAGTTGCAATGGGTTTTAACTAACTAGTCTAAGATGCGATAAAACCTTGTTTTGATGGGGTATTTTTGAAGAAAGACATTTTGTTGGTAATGGCAGGAACCAAAAGACTATGACATTGTTGCAATACCATTAACAAATGCAGCTATAAGGATGCTGAGATCAAATAAGGGAATGCCAGAAGAATGGCGTCGGTATCTGGCGAAACCTTTAACCGAGCCATAGCAGTTTATCTCAGGAATCAAGGAGCAAAAGAGGTCCGTTCAGGCCATCTCGTAAATATAGAACGGTGGCTCGATTGCATATGTAGATTCATCTAGTTTAACTTCAAAACTGTTCATAGTTTGTCATGGACTTGATTTGAGTACGCACTCAAATGTATATAATACGTAAATAATGTCGAGCATAAGTAACGATCATAATCTGAACTCAGAATTCCTTCGCAAACTCAGATTTTGCGACTTCTGCAGGAGAATCTGGTTAACATCTCTGAACAAGTTCATTGTATCTGCCAAGAATCAGCAAAGATAAGCTTTACCCCAATTTCGTTGGTACAATCCCCACAATCACCAACTTTCAATATATCCTAACAGTGGTTTTGGTTAACATTTTTATGGAATTATGCAATCTCAAAATAGGTGTATTTCCTGGTCTTCATGAGAATCAGGAAATAAATTGATTTGGTACCCTAAACACATCGTGTCTACTACGGAGCCAAACTAATCAAACTATCCTCAACATCACATCAGAAGTGGCAGGAAGAAGAGATCATTGTTTGGCAGTAAATAAGAAAACCATCAAAATTTGATTAAGCAATGTCTTTGTTCATGGCATAACACAAAACAAAAAATCTCAAAACTTTCTTCTTTTCTGGGCACTACTTAACATTGTCGTTTCATAAGCAGCAAGCCCAAGAATCAAACATTATGCACACCTTAGAGAGAGATACCTTTGTTGGATCATCTTCATTGTCATGCCAAGCTCGCAAAAGAATATAGGGAACTAAGAGGAGAGGATGGACTGTAATGCAAGCTGTTGCTGTGGTTGCAGAGATGACCATGTCGATGCGAGCGCTGATGGAGACAATGTTTGTTGAAGCTGTCTTAAGATATTTATCATCCTACTCACTGTTTGCTCCGTTGCCAGAGTACTCCCCGCACATAAGACCTATATATACCGGAATTTTTAAAAACAGACATCAAAACTGATATCAATTCATGAAGTTGAAACTCTACGGCGTGTTGAATACCTCAGCAAAAACTGCAACTATTTTTGGAAGGTACTGATGATTGGGCCCTAATAGATCCGGATCAGATCTGCACAGAGAGTCCAGGTTTCAATAACCACCACAAAGCAGTAACAAAAAATAGATGAATAATTTTTACCTCTCCACCATTGAGCAAAGCTGGTCATGGACAATTTTAGCCTCAACTGTATCCCCTTTTATCGGTAAGCAGTTTAACCAGGCAGGTACAATCTGGTAAGAGTGACAAATTTCTCGTCAAAAGCTATGCTGAATAGTTGATAGAAAGAAGAAACATTATCACTGTGATGAAGAATGTAGATAGAGGAAGCCTAGATATTTTACCCTTCCAGCATCAATACTGTCTCGGTGGAACTGACATATTTTTCCAAGAGCGGAAACAGCGTTGTCATAGGCCATGGCGTTTTCAGACTGCTGTGCATTAGGATGTGCAATGACAACATCCAATTTGGAGAGTGCCTCTACAGAGAAAAAAATACAGCATTTACACCAATGCAACAAGAACCTCGTAGACATGGAGAAACGAAAAAGTATGTATGAAGCTACCTCCGACAAGAGGTCTGAAAACAGATCCGCCAAACTCAGCACAAACTCCAATTCCATACACAGCAGCCTGAATTGTGGGGAAAAAAAAAAACTAAATGATCCCGAACTCTGTTAAACTGAAGAAGATAGTAGGTTTCTTGTGCGACATACCTGCCGAATATCAACATTCTCGTCATTGCATGCTTCCAGAAGAAAAGGGACGAAGGTATCATAGTATCTGCATAGCAGTATATACATCATACATGCTGTGACATCTAATAGTCGCACAAAATCAGGGAAAAGGATAAGAGAATATCATACTTAAGAGCTGCTTCGCGACAATGCTCAGCAACATCATCAAATATAGAAATAGCTATTCTTCTCTCCTCTGCTGTTCTATCACTACCCTGCATAGAACAAACCATAAACATTCACTATCACAGTTGGTGAACAAATTAAAGCACTCATTCTTCAGTTATTATCTATGGTAAAAAAAAAGTCCGACATTTAGAAATAGGAAGCCTAGAGAGCACAAAGAAAAGAACTTACCAACATGGGAGTTATGTAAGATGAAAGCTCATCAAACATGGGCAGGAAAGAGGTCTTGAATGTTTTTATTAACGTACCCAGTAAATCACCAATCTTCACAAAAAGAGAGACAGAGATAAATTATTATATCCTTGTATCCTCTGTCAGAATTGATGCCTTAGCAACATAAACTTTGAGATCATACCTGATCAAAAACTTCTTCTTCTTGTTCATTTTCTTCTTTAAGGATCTCGCTTTCTTCTGCATCAAAGTCTTCTGCCCTAGCTCTCTCTTCTCTTTCGCTCCGTCTGGTTGAGCTAGCTATTACTGCGTGCTTAGTCTCCTCAACAATGCCCCTCACCTGGCTTTCATCTAGAATGGGTCCAGAAATCTGAAACAAGTACTTTGGTTATATTCTTTTCTAAAGGAGATAAACTACAATGAAATAATACTCAAGACTATCTATCAATTCAGAGGAAAGAGAAAAAAGAGACGAGAGCAATGAATACTGTATTTGTAATATATTTGGCACCCTTAAAAAAAGAAGGCAATACTGTTAATTCATTTCCGCCCTATATAAAAAATACAATAATCCCCTCCCATACGATGAAAGTCTTAATTGATCTAATTGCTAATATAAACTGTCTGGGAAAGAAACTACAAACCTGTACACACTCGTTTAGTGACTCCAGCATGCTTGCACAAATCTCCACTTCAGGCTCCTTTTGGTTAAGTTGAAAGAAAATCATCAAGTATAATATATAGGTTATTCTTCGTAAGAAAAACTAAAAGTGAAGGCATCATTTTTTAAGGCAAAAAACAAAATGTAAAGCCAATTCAACCTTGTGCAAGGCCTCCAACAACGCCGGTATTATATAGTCGCTCAAGTGCTTTATATAGGATTCATTACGACCCTGAGATTCCCCTTTCTCCACAGCAAGTTTAGCTGAACGTAACAGCTCCGGCATACCTAACCGCCAAAAATTAGATAATGTGACTGAAGCCCTCATTGTAGAAACACACAGAATGTATGATTGAAACCCTAGAAAACATAGACATTATAGATACTCGAAGATCAAACCTGATACTGCAGCCTTCCTAACTTCTTCATGGAAATAAAATTTGAGAAGAGGAACTAAAATAGGAGCAACCTGTTTTACGGCAACAATATAAGAACCTTGGAAGCCAATGAAACTCTGTAATCCGAAAGTTAGTAGAGTACAGAGGCCATACCTGATCAATCCAAGGGAAAAACCCTTCTTTTAGCTCATCTGCATAGCAACACAGCATGTTACAGGCAGTAGCTTTCTCCTCTAACACACTAGTTTTGATCCCTATTCTCTTGTCACCAAGAGTGATGGTCTCAATGCTGAAATAGAAAATCAAACCTCATGAAAGCTTATACCAAAAACAACAATACAAATCACATAAAATTCCTTTAACCGAATATATGAATCCAATGAAAAGATTGCATGGTTGCAAAATCAAGTTTCATTCACCAAAGTCCAAACGTTAACATTTAACCTAAACAGGGGAAAAAGGTAGAAAGGAAGCAAAAAGGAAACAAGGAAGCAGGGGATAAAGGAAAAAAAAAAGCTATAAATTGATAGTTAACTTAGCAAGTCTATCAGCTAAATGGATTGAGTGGGCACTTATAATTTTGAAATTAAAACTTATAATTGTTCAACGTTTTCCACAATATATACATGTTCTTGAGATATACAATAGGAAAATATTCCTTATACAGTACTGGGATGTAACCATGTCATACCTATCATCTTCGTCATCAATATCTGCATCTGAATCTGCAGATGAAATGATAACATCCGGCTTAAGCTGAGCTGATTGAAGCAAAGGGGGCATAACAACACCCATGTAAGGGAGAAAATCTTTTCCAAGGCATTTGCAGAGTCTAGCCCAAGCCTGCATATGTATTTATTAGATAAATCAGAAGAAATATTCATTTAAGTTCCCACTAAGCTTCTAATGAACCAACAAAAAAAGACATTGAATCTTAAATTCAAGCTTTAAGAATTCTGAAACATGCCTGTAACATGTAGCTTGTTGTTGGATCATCCGTTTCCAGTTGCGAACCTTGTAAGGACATCAGCACTTCCATGACCTTTCCAAACAAAAAAAAAAACTTTAAGCCTACTGTTTAATTGGGTAATTACTTCCCGCACCAAAATGATTGAGGGCTTCTACATATGTGTTTTTTTGTTAAATGAGCTAAGATTGATTTAGGAAGACACGATAAGGAATTTCCTTTAACAAAATTAAACTCTAATTATCTAAAAAGTGGAAGTAGAGATCTACAACACCATTTAGCACAAGGATGTAAAAGTTTATGAAACATCCATATCTTTACCTGCTTTGCATCATCCATAAATTTTTCCTTTCCAACAGCCATTCCAACCAAACTAATGCACTCCATTGACTTAGCGCGAAGCATGCGATTAGCTTTGTCATTGGCATTTACCAAAATAGCTTTCAAGTAAGGCATAACAGCATCATAGTATTTTTGGAACAGCTCCTGTTAGAAAACAAGTTAGATCATTGAGCTTCAAATAAAACTATAAAAAAAAAACTATTAGGGAGGAGCATATATACACCTGTGAAGAATCAGCAACTGAGGCCAAAGCAGTCAAAGCGCCCTCTTGTACCATTTGTTTTCCATTCTGCATAATACCCAGGTATAATGTAAGAAAGCTACCTACAAATCCTCATCTAGTAAAGATTTGCACTTAGTAACTGTGAGACTGCCGAGTGAGGAAACTGAATGAACTACCAACAATTAATGTGGATAAAAAGTGTACTATTTTGATGGTTATTAGGTATCCAAAACACTTCTATGACCAATGTAATACTGAAAGATGTAAAAAATGACTTGAAAATTGTGAGAGCTTTGAAAGTCTTCAGAACTGTAAGATGGAATCCTGACAAGGCTAAACAGACTCAAACAAGTACTAACCCTTTTGTCCTAGTCTACAGGCATGACCCCTTAGTAGGTTTCACTTATGAACTAACTTCCAATAAGCAGTATCTATTCGAGACGAATGAAAATTTAGCAAATCTGTTCAAGGAATTTCATCAAAGACAAAGAAACAAATGAATTTTATGAGCATGTATGACGTGTACCTGAAGCAGTACAAGAAGCTTGCTAATAACTCCATCCAGATAAGGGGTTAAAATTTCTGGAGTGCAATTCTCACTGAAATTAAGAACAGCGGAAGCAGCATGGGCCTGTATCACGAAAGGGATACCTCATTACAGAAAACTCAAGCAAAGGATAAGAACATCTCATCAATAAGCAGGAAGAAACATGAAAATCAATGAGAATATCCTACTTTCAGTGTTTTATAAAAAATCATTAGCTTCTACTTCTCAGTCTTGGTGTATAAATCTAAATGATGAGCAGGATGAAAAAGGCAGGTCAATAAAAATCTCAAAATTTCAGTGCCGGATACAGTTGTAATGATCCTCTTATTCGTTTTTTAATCATCATTCCACTTTTGCTTCTTAGTCTGGGACACTGGTATATTAAGTGAGTCTTTTCAACAACTAAAATCACTATTAAATGCCTAAATGACCACCAGCTTTACATGAGCAATACATCACCTGGTGCATATTTTGAAAATCTAGGTATTGGATTTAGTTAACAAGAGACAATACATACGGATGAGTTACATTTTCACTAACAGAATGGCCAAAGCAGCAATTTACAAACTTACCTGGACTCGAGGGTTCTGAAAGTCATCCATGGCTCCAACCAGTGCAGGCAGCACAGACTGATGATATTTAGTTTGTAACACAGGTCCTAAGTCTGTAGACAACTGTCCGATTGCATTAATTGCTGCCCATCGGACACGAGGATGGGGATGCTGAAAAGAGTTCAGAACCATAGAAACCACCTGTTCCAGGTTTTTTATCATAACCTGTACCAATACCAAGATAATATCAGAGAAGAAAACATGAAAGAAATTAAGTCGATCTTTACATATGAGAGAAATAATAACCACGATTCAGGTATGAACATAGATGTGCATCAACAATGAACTCGTTAAATATACGAGACAAAAAAGTAGGACAGTGACATTTAAATATGGCAAAATCATAGAAGAGAATAGACTCCTCCATCAACAGTCATCTAGACAGGAACATTTTGCTAATTACCAGATACCACCAAACTAGAAGGGAAAGGATAGATGTAAGTGATACACTCTTATTTGACACATGTGGAAGTTAGTAGAGGACAAAACAGTTAATATTATTACTAAATCTAACAGCCTCTGATATGAACCTTGTAAATTTTACTAGTTCTAAGCTATTCTCTCCTTCCAATTATCCACTTCTTTCTCCTGAAGAAATTTAACCCAAGTCAACAATGACTACTTTACCAGATACCACCTAAGTTTACCATATACTAAGTCATCTTGAATCACCTAGACACTTAAACCAGAACAGAAACAACCCTCACCTTTGAGCAGCCTTCAGCGATTTGGGCAAGAGCAATGAGAGCAGCATGGTGCTTCTGCCACTCAGAAGCTGCGAAGAAACCCGAGAAAACTTCAGAGGCAACAGGAACAATTGTATTTCCACCCAAAGATATCGCAAGTCTGTCTAGACATTCTTGTCCAAACCCGTAATTACTGGTCTCGCCAGCATCTTCATCCTCATTCTCGGCACTGTGCCATGCGGGGTCATCCTCAATATCCAAAAGCATGTTCATCAACACGCTAAAGAGTTTGGTAATGAACTGTGGCAATTTCCTAATCATACCAGGAGCTCTTTCTCGTGCCTCAGCCAATGTAATAACAAATTCTACTGCCAAATGCCTCGTTCCTTCTTCTAAACTCTCAGCTTCTGCAATCTGAAGCATCGAACCTACAATTTCCACAATCTGTCTCCTTAAAAACCTCGGTTCAGTACCAGCCAGTTCAATAAGAAGCTCTAAAGCTTCTTGCGCTGTTACTTCTTGCCCGGAATTCAACGCCTCTGTCAACGTTTGCATCATCAAGGGCAACAAATCCTGAAACATATCCCTATCGGAAGCCTTTGACAAACACTGGATAAAATTAATGGCGGCACCCAAAGCCGTAATTCTAACATCAGCAGATGTAGAATTTCTCAAAGACTGAGAAAACACAGAATGTAATGTACTCAAATAAGGAATCAACGTTTCACCAATGTACTGAGCCAATCTAGAGAAAATCAACAAAGCATATTCCTGAAGATTGGGATTATCAGCAGCAACAACGCACTGGAACATAAACGGAAGTAACTCCGGCCATCCATTCTCCGGTAAAATCGCAGAAGCGAGTTCAGAGATAGTATCACAAACCTTCTTAGCTATAGATTTAGTACTCTCCTGTTGCAAAGACGTGATGAGAACAGATTTAAGAGTCAAACGAGTAGATTCAGCAATTCGAGGGTAGATAAAAGCGGAATCATCGTCATCTCCAGTTCGAGTGAGTTGTTTCCGTAGCAAAACAGCGGACATAGCACGAAGCTCGAGATTGGGAGATGAATCGAGAGATTGAACGAGTTTCAAAGCGAGTGAATCGGGATGTGTTTGTTTGCAGAGATTGAAGAGAGATTCGGCGTGGGAACGTTGTTCGTTTGAAGATGACATGAGGTGTGAAATTAGGGTTTCGAAGTGAGAAGAATCGGGACCGAGGAGGATAGAGAGTTGAATCTGTGTTTGTTGATCGATCGCCATGATTGTGCTTCCGGAGGAGAAACAATGGCTGCGAGGTTTTAGTTATGGGGAGAGAGAGAGAGGCAGCGAAGCGAGAGAAAAGGGTTATGTTTTTGTGGAGGTAAGATTTATATTACGAGGGTTTCTTCTTCATTATGGATGTGATTAGATACGGTCCAAATTAGCAGGCCCTTTTCGACAATTTCATGTATTAATATTTTTCTTTTTCTTCTCCTTTTAATAAAAATAATATTTTTCTTTTTTTTTTCAACAACTTTCATTAATCCCACTAAAAAAAAAACCAATTTTATGGAATGTTGTTTGGGAAAAATGTCAAAAAATCATGAACTTTCAAATTTAGGAAGATTTAATCATGAACTACGAAGAAGACATATAAATCGTAAAGTTTTGTTAACTTTAAAATTAATTAACAAAGTTTGGTTGACTAGCCATTTTAGTCATAGCGTTAAGTAGGCTAACATAAAACGATTACGGTGTTAAACTTCCGTTTGCATTCTCTCATGTCAAAACGATATCGTTTTCTGTAGCAACAAAACAACGTCGTTTCGACGATTTAGGCAACTTGAACGTAAATCCCCAAATCGATTTCATTCCTTAAAACTAGAATTCCTCTCTCGCTTCCTATGTTGAACAACGACGAAGTTGGTGAAGAGGGACAATGGGACATGGTATGTTTTCCACAAGAAAATGAAGGAGGTGGTGTCAAGACAGAAGAAAACGATGTAGGTGGTGTAGAGGCAGAAGTAAATAATGGAGGAGGTGTCGAGGCAGAAGTAAACGATCGAGGTGGTGTGGAGGAAGAAGCAAACGATGGAGGTGGTCTCGAAGACGTCGTTTTATCGCTATAGTAAACGATATCGTTTTGACATAACAGAGAAAGCAAACGGAGTTTAACACCGTAATTGTTTTCTGTTAGCCTACTTAACGCTATGTCTAAAATGGCTAGTCAACCAAACTTTGTTAATTAATTTTAAAGTTAACAAAAACTTTACGATTTATATGTCTTCTTCGTAGTTCATGATTAAATCGTCCCAAATTTGAAAGTTCATGATTTTTTTGACATTTTTCCCAATGTTGTTTATAAGTAATTTGACGCGGTTTGGTATGAACTTTTTGTGCCAAATTATCCGCTTTAACATTTGCACATCGAGAAAAAAAAACTTAAAGAATTCTTCTTTGTTACTCTGAATTTCTTTCAAATACACTGAAAATATTGGTCATCCGGTTGGAGAATACACTATCTTCACCAGATTTGAACAGTCTGTATAAAAGGCTATGGTCTTGATTGTCGGCACCAATCAAGCACTTCATTGCCCAGACAAAAGTTTCCACTTCTGAATGTAGTGGACTGAGGCTTATGCGGGAGTTGACAGCTCCCATGGTTGGCGAAACTCCGTTTGATGACATACATAACCACCGTAATCTTGAAAACTTATCACTTATCACTTCTTTTCTATGAACCATCCACCAAACATCGATGTCTAGAGTACAATGTTTCATGTGAACAAGTGCATATTTCTGATTCCAAAGATCCATGATTTTCAGTATGAAATCCGACTTGAGCTAACTGCTACGATTGTGCCTCATTTTCCGTTAAGCGTAATACCTCGAGTGGATCTTTATCCACGTTTACATATAACTTATCATTCATTTCTTTCCAAATGTACCAAATTATTCATGGAACGATTCTAATATCCAAATATTTTCAAATTTCTTGAGAATTCTAATTTTAGTTCTTCAATTTAGGGTGGACAAGCGGAAATTTGGCACAGAATTTTAAGGAAACAAAACGGAAACAAGAATTTTAGAATAAAAACAGATTACCTTTGGGAAAAATGTCGAAAAATACGCGAACTTTCAAATTTGGGACAAAAAAGCATGAACTTTCGAAATGTCATTTAAATCATAAAGTTTAGTTTCACTTTTGATAAAATGGTTAAGTTTTCGTTGACCTGGCCATTTTAGGCATGTTAAATTTCCGTTAACAAGACGATGACGGGGTTAACTTTCTGTTAGAAATTTTCGTTGAATCGAAACGACGTCGTTTTAAAAACAACAAAACGATGTCGTTTCACTGGAAAATAAAACGAATCAACTGTTGAAACGACATCGTTTTGTTGTTTTTAAAACGACGTCGTTTCGATTCAACGAAGATTTCTAACGGAAAGTTAACCCCGTCATCGTCTTGTTAACGGAAATTTAACGACATGCCTAAAATGGCCAGGTCAACGAAAACTTAACCATTTAATCAAAAGTCAAACTAAACTTTATAATTTAAATGACATTTCGAAAGTTCATGCTTTATTTGTCTTAAATTTGAAAGTTCGCGCCTTTTCTGACGTTTTTCCCGATTACCTTTATATGTTCTTTAAATTTTGGGACGGAATAGAATGGAACGGGATACAAACAACATGTATATTTTATTTAAATTTTGTGATAGACAAAAGATAGAACAAGACGGGATAGAAACGATAATTCTAAAAAAAAAAGATCTTATAATATGTTACAGAAAAAATGGCATTAAAGCTCATGTTCATATACTCAAAAGCACATATGAGAGAAAAGTAAGAGCATGACCTGTCGACTCTCTTCGTCACTTATTACTGTCCCATTTGGCCAAAGTATCTGCCAGCGATGGTGATGAGCATATTTGCCATGGTGATAACTTCTTCATCTCCAACCTCTAATGATTTCTCTGCACGAACACTTGCACACTTCCTCAGAAGACCCCTGAGACAAGCACAAGTATCGGCATCCAAAGGAGTCTCCAATGATGCACACAACGCTACTACCCATTTGCAATCACTACTCTGTAAACCACTCTCCTTCTCAACCAAACATATACGCTTTTTCAGCTTTGACACCCGCGTCACCGAGTCCATTCCTTGTATGTCTGATACCACTCCACCAAATGACTCATCCTTCTCGGTGTGGAGATGCTTATTGAATATCTCCACAAGTAAATCATCTACACACTGACTTGATACTATCTCATCCTCACAGCTGTTGGCACTTTGCGATAGAGTCTGTAAAAACCACAACACTTTTACTTTCATTGCCGTCCATTAAGAGAAACACTGCTATTAACCAATCATGCAAGTTAGAAGAAATATCAGAAAAAAATACCTGGCGAAGGTGAATGAAGTCTGAAAGCAACGAGTCCTCCCATTCCTTCATGGGTAAGAGGTACTCTGGGCATTTGGGGATTTCAGGAATTAGTGGCATATAAACACTTTGCTCTTTCTTTATGTACTTGCTTTCATCTATCTTGGCTACTCTAACATTCGGAATTCCCTTAGCCTCCCACCTAAATTGGGGAAACAAAACAACTGAACCATATTACCAAAATTGTAAATACACAGAAAGATGGAAACAGAGAGATTATATACCTGACTCGTCTTAAATATTCGAGCCCATCTTCTGGTGGTCCAATACTAAAATCAGGTTCTCCATCTACCTCAAACGCAGGTCTCAAGATGCTATTGTAATCATCATTATCGTCAGTGTAGTCTTCAGGAGTTAGGTCCTCCGCTCCTTCATCAGTGCTCAAATTTTCTCCTGCAGAAATAAATAGTGTGATAAGGTAAGTAGCAGCAATACACACAATAAAAATGAGCTTGAGTAGAAACAGAGATGAACTCCGAATGTTTTGGCTGTGAATGCACTATTTTTATAGACAAGGTATGAACATGTACAACTTTATACAGAGAATAATGGCCCTATACACTTGAAGTTTGAACCAAAAGAAACTCCTATGTCCTTCAGAATCTGAACCAAAGAATCTATATACAGAATGAATGTATGAGGTATTAGCTCATAGAAGGAAAAAAAGGGACTTGTATTGTGTCTTAGAAAAGAGAAAATTGGTGAACAATGGACTTCGACAAATCTCTCCAGCTCACTGTACAAAGATATTCACATGGTTTCGTCTTGGTACAGCAGATATGGGACCTGTGGAAAAGAAAATAAGAGGCCCCTATCAAAATGACATGTACTGGAACTGACGAGAGAAGTGATAAATGAAGAACTGATCTGGAGACAAGATAAGAGTTTTCGACCAAGAAAACAAAAATCCAAGCCGTGAAAAAGAAGGCTAGCAACACGAAACAGAAAAGGCTAGAGGGGATTACACACATTGAGTTATTCAATCCAAACAACCATTGCTGAAACACCATTCAATGATACTAAAGCTGACATGATTGTCTGTGATAACCCATTTGAGAAAGAAAAGACCACAAAACCCAAAACGAGAGAGAGACACACAAAACTGCAACGGATTTAGTCCTATTTCTTAGACCTATCTATCTAAATTTGATGACATAATTCTTAGGAGTACAGTTTCTCTCAACATGTTCAACCAACAACAGGCAAAACAAAACAATAAGGTGATAAATGCAAGGAATAAGACACAAACAAAGCATCTGCGAGGTTATTAAGATTACCAATGCAACTCTCGGTTTGCCCACGAACCCGATTAGACTTTGAACTCTTGTAATTCTTCACATAAACTAAACTTTCATACTCAGTCAGCACCTCAGGTAGAATCCTAGCATACATCTCACTCCACAGTATCTTCTGATTCACAGTGTGGGCAAACCTCATTGACTCCAATTGTTTCCTAGTGTACACTCTCCTAAACTGCTTCCCATTGTTTTCTCCTCCACCATTATGAAAATCACAAACTTTGGCTGATCCACTCCCTTCAACAACTTCAAAAGTATTTATCTTATCAATTGGTTTCTTCTCTCCAAGTTTCTTATGCTTTCTTGGTGCATCCTTATCATTCTGTGCACTTCCTGGTCTCTTAGGATGAGTAACAACATCAACCAACGCAGTATCATCAATCTTCACAGATCTCTTATCAACATAACTATCCATGGTCTCTTCGATCTTAGGCAACGTATCCACATCAACCCTCTTCCTAAAGATTGACCCAAGTTCGATTTCAGCTAACAATCTTCTCTTCTCAGCTTCCAAAAGTCTCTGAACCTCAGATTCTTGTTCCTGAAGGGCTCCATCAGTATCATCAACAACTTCCTCGATCTTGTGCACATCATCATCTCCAAATTGCTCACTTTCTTTGAAGAAAGATGATTCTTTTATCTGTTGCAGATCCCTATTGTCTTCAAGAACTGCGGAAACAGTTGCAGGTACAGAGACGGCTCCATCTTCCATAGTTATCGCATCGGTTTGCGAGGAAGAAGCTTGTGGATCTATCTCAGAGTTCAGTTGCTTCGTTAAGTCGCTCTCTTTTTCAAATCCATCCCGAGAAACTGAGGTTTTTGCCGGAATACAGTGGCCGGAATCAGAGTTCGTCGTCATGAGGCGGGTGTGCGCAAAACCCTTAACGAGTCCGTAGAGTAGAGAATGAAAGTGAAACTATTAAAAAGCTGGAACCGGTTTGTTTAAACCGGATAAAATTCTCAACCCTTGAACCGGTTCTGGATAAATATAGGCAATGTGATCTCATACCGGTCCGGAGCTTGGTCCGCATGACTGCATTTCTCTTTTGAAATCTTGGTTGCTTCAACACTATCATTGCTTGCTTCAACATATTTTCATACAAAACAAAATGAGAACAAGTAGAAGAAGATTTTAAATCTTGTACGAAGTTCATTACAGACAACTAACACGTAATTAAACAGCTAAACTACTCTCTCTGCTACACTACGATTGAACTTAACACCAAATAGATGTGAATCATGTAGGAACAGTGTAGTAACCAACATCGTCATCTTGATTCACCATCAATATCACAGTTGTAAAGAGAACCATCACAACAAATGATATAGCAATCACGAATTTGGCATAGCTCATCTTCTTCTTCTTCTTACCCGATATCATCTGTGTTTGAGATGTATATCCACTAAATTTGACAGTTGATGACATTGTTTCCGCCATGGTTGAAAATTGCTTTCTGACTTGAGGATTCTTGCGAGATCCTATGGTTTTCTCTCTTCCGCTTCTCGGTATTGGACTTTGGATATCTGAATGGTCTAAGTCAACATCATCAGGATATTGAAGAGAGCTGATGAGCTTCCGTGGAGTGCTGAAGATGTTGAAATCTTCAGCATTGATACGTCGTGAACGCTGTCTCTGTGTATCAAAAAAGTCAGAAATGTTTAACACAAATGAAACTAACAATCATACAACAAAGATGGATTGATGCTCACCTGAGGACTAGGAGTGGTGTTATGCAGCCGCCTGTTTCTCAAACTTTCCATCAGAAAACCTTCGAATTCATCTCCATTTTCACAAGTGTCATAGGGGACAAGAGGTGAATCAGAGACAGTGGTGTTTCCTTTAGTTACACCGGAGAAAAGACCATCCTTTAAAGAGATATCAACCCCTCCACCATTCTGACTAGGTCTCCAAAGTTTGCGATTCACACTCCGCCGATCAAATTCAGAGTTACAAGAAGTATGAGAAATAGGCGAGGACTCAACCGGAGAATCATATCCGCTGAACGAGCCTAGAGTCTGTGATTCAGGTGATAAGGAGTCATCAGGAAAATGACCATTAACAATGGGTGAACAGTTTCTTCGAGTGTAATTCGAACCAGTAACAGAACGACAACCCTTCTCCAGCTTCGACTCGAGCTCTCCCGCTATTCTTTTTGAAGTCATCATTGCTTCATAAGCAGCTCCTCTAACATAAGCCATTTGATCAGATTGACACCTCTCCATTTCTTTGATTATTAACTCAACTTCGGAGTATATGCTTCTCGGGTCCAAGCACTTCATTAGGAAGTTCAACATTTGGACTGCTGATAACCGTTTCTGCGAGTTTCCTTCAGACACTCCAAATCCCAGAATCCGCAATCCCGTGTGTATCAACAACCTTGCATAGGCTTCAACAATCAAAGGATTATGTTTGGCAAGTGACATAACCAGACCCATTTGAAGATGTGTTTGGTTGGAGTTTGAGTCCAACGCAACTACCACATTTTGACAAACCCTGTTCACCATCTCGTCCGAAGCAAATCGCCAATTGTCACAATCCACAAGAGCCTTCAAACACAAAGCAGCCCCTGAAGTAAGGCTCTCTTGAGAGGCCAGTAGAGAATCCGTAAGATGGCTTACACAAAGAGTGGATTATAACTCGTTTCTTGTCGTCTTTAGATGTCGGATCGATCCCATATCGAGCAATTGCCGGAATAACTTTCGAACAAGCTTGTTGAAGAGGGAAAGAACCAGCACTTGAAGCCAAAGTCTTGACAATAGTGGACATGATTGTATCAATCTGAGGAACAATGTTAGGTCCATGAACACGAGCAAGTATTTCATAAAGCGAAATCGTGTATTCACCGGACAAAGAGTTGGTTTCTTTAGTCTCGAAAACTTGAGCTAGAAAACCAGGAATAGCCTTTGAATCCAAGTCCTTCACATAAGATTTAAGAGCTTTCATTGCTGATTTACGACTCTCTGTGTCTTTGTCAAGATTAGCCAACTCTTGTCGCAAAATTGGATTCAGATTCAAACCCATTACTCCAACTGCACACACAAGGCAAAATCACACCAACAACATAAGATTTCTTCTTAAAGTCAAAAACTTTAAACTACATTTTCAAATCTCATCCTTGAAAACTCGAGTCAGACCAGAAATAAAGACCCAATACGAGGAAAATAAGAACCAGACAGCGAATATTCGAAATCAGACAACTTCAAGACAAACCCATTACTCCAGCTACACCACACAAGACAAATCACACCAGTAACATACAATTTCTCCTTAAAGTCATAAACTTTAAACTACATTTTCAAATTGCAAACTCGATTCAAACCAATAAAGACCGTATACAAGAAAATTGAAAACCAGACAGCTAACTTTCGCAATCAGACAACGTCCAGAGAAATAGCAAATCAAACCCATTACTCCAACTGCACTACACAAGAAAGTTCACACCAACAACATAGGGTTTCTTCTTAAAGCACTATAAACTTTAAGCTACGTTTTCAAATCATAATTTTGCAAACTCGATTCAGACCAGAAATAAAAACTCATATACGAGAAAACTGAGACGTAGACAACTAATTCGAAACCAGACAACTTCACGAGAAAATAGCAAAAATTACAGAACCATGAATCTCGGAAACAGATCCGTACCTGCTTCTTCTACTTGAGCTACTTCTTTGCTTTGACCGTACAAAGATGAAACCTTTGGAGAATTCAAAAGCAAAAGAAATCGATGTGCCGTAGCAAAGTGAAACCTTGGAATGAGAAAATCAAAAGTGTGTGGCGGAAACTTACAAATGAAAAATCCCGCGGTTCAAAAGTGTGTGGGGTTTAGGTTTTTTGTGTGTGTGTCTGCTTCTTTTTTGTTTGAAGATGTTTTGTCTTTTTCAATATCATTTGTCTCCATCTGTTGTAATATGAATCTTTTGTCTTTTTTTATTTATTAAATAATTATATTTTCTCGTGTTGAATAGACAAAAAATAGATCTGAGATTTTTAAATTCAAATCTCTCTATTCGAAATCTCACCGCTCTTTATTTGTTGCATTGGGTCCCATTCGCTCTCTCTAGTCTCTAGATCTAGTGATCTGCCATTTTCAAATTATTCTAGGTGAGACGGTGTCAATATCCGTGAACAAATAAATGCTACTTTGGTGTTATTAGATTTGAATTTGAGCTTATTATATACTCCCTCTGTATTTGAAAAAATGTTGTTTCAACTGTTTTTGGGTGAATTAAGAAAGGGCACAGAAATACAAAACTAACCTTATGAGAAACGATTATTTACAATTATATTTTTGGTATATGTAGTTTTGGTAATTTAGACTGATTAATTATGATCAATTAATTGGGGGTAATTTAGGAAATTTTATGCAAAAGTTGTTAAAATGACAACTAATTAAAAACACAGAAGAAAGGCTAGAACGACATTTATTCAAATACGGAGGGAGTAGTACAAAAGAGGATGATTATAGATCGACCACAAATATTATCACCAACTATGGAAATATAATTCAAAGAAATGATAAAGAAAGTCATAATTGTTGAAAAAAGTGGATAATTATCCATTTATCCCTTTCTCCCCAAGTCTCTTCCTCCCCAATCTATTTCATTTTTAACCTTATCCAATCCAAAACTTCCCCTATATATATGTTGTTTTGTTCATTGTAAACGTTAGTGAGTTGAGAGAGAAAATAAAGAAGAAGAGACAAGTTAATAAGAAAGAGAGTATTATTTGTTTATCTCACTTCCCAAATTCTCTCGTCTCTCTATCTATAATACAAAATATATATTTCATATATACATGTTTTGAGTTATTATTTATAACATGTTATCAGCACGATGTCTTTACCGCTAGAGCGTTTACAAGGTAAGTAAAATTTAATGTTGTTTATATTTATTCATATTCATGTTACTGCTAGAGCGTTTCCGGTTTGATTGTTATAAGTGGTAGGCTCTGCCTCCTTCACGATCAATTGAAAAGCTATGTCTTTTCCGGATAGATCGTAATATATGGTAGGTTATGCCTCCTTTACGATCAAATAAATGGCCATGCTTTTTCTGGATTGATCGTCATATATGGTAGGTTTTACCTTCCTAACGATCAAATAAAAATTTATATTTTTTCCGGATTGATCGATATATATGGTAGGCTCTGCCTCCTTTTCTACGATCAAACAAAAGTTATGCCTATTGAATTCTTAATGGAAGGCGATGCCTCCTGAATTCTTGTATAAAAGGGCTTTGGTCTCTATATTATTAATTTTGTGAATTTATACGTTTAATTATTTTTATTTATATTATTAGTAAAGAATAAATATATATATATATATATATATATATATGTGTTATATGAGATTTAAAGACATTGTATGTCTCTAAAATCAAAAATATATTTCTCTTTTGAGAATATATGAAGCACGTGTCAATATATTTTTAGACAGTGCAAAATAATTGGAAGGTCTAGATGAGCTAGTCTCTCGACTTTCAAATGCATCGGATTCATAATAATCGATGCTTCGTAAATGTGGTATTGAATGTCCGACCACAATGGAGACACGCAAATGTATGATTATATCATGCAAAAAATAAAGCTGGCAAAATATTTATGATAGTAAACAGAGGTTTGCTAATTGCTATAATATAGTATAACCAGTCAAGCCATCCCGGTATAACAAATCAATTAATAATAATGATCCAAATCCAGAATCCGTATCAGTGCCAGCAAGGGCCTGATTGGGAGAAATAGAAAAGTTTAATGCAAATTGAATAGCTCTCCCTTAACAAAAGAGATGCATTTGGATCTCTTGTCACTACATCTAAAGATATAAAACCTATTGGGTGCAAGTGGGTCTTCGTACGAAAAAGTTGAAATCACACGATATAAAGCCCGACTTGTTACACAAGGTTTTTCTCAAAGACTTGGAGTTGATTATGAAGAAACATATTCTCCAGTCATAGATGCAATTACATTCAGGTACACAACGAGCCTAACGGTCTCTTATAATTTAGAAATGTACCTTATGAATGTAGTGACATCATGTTTATACGGATCATTGGATAATGATATTTATATGAAAATCCCAAAAGGATTTAAAGTTCCTAAGGCATTAGACTCAAAGTCTAATGAAATATGTACGGTCAAATTACAGTGATCATTTTACGGATTAAAAATAATCCGGACGCATATGATATATTGCTTAGGCGATTATTTCTTAAACAAAGAGTATGTTAACAATGAAATATGCTCTTGCGTCTTTATTAAGAAATCTCCATCGAGATTTGTGATCATTGATGTATATGTTGATGACCTAAATTGGAACTTAAAAAAAGTGATTAAATATCACTAAAATTTTATGTAAAGAAAGAAAAGCTTATTCAAGCACTGCATGCATCCGTCCACATTCCTGAAGTAACATTTAATTTATGTTAAATTTATTTATTTTTATATTATATCGACTCGAAGGTTGCATACCTTCTCTTTAACTCTGTAGTAGGCTAAGCCTCCAGAAACATATGATTTTTGGCCAAATCACCATTTTTTTAATAAGCTCATTGTATATGCTGGTTGATTTCCTCAATAATCTCCAAATTAAGCCCCGAATATAACCGATCTAAAAATAAGATTCGGTCCAAGATAAATAGGCTTGAAAAGCCATCATCTTGGGAGGGATATTACAAGTCCCACATTTTTATAAGGATCTAAGAATAAATACATGATCCATATTGAATATGTTATTGATCCTAAAGTGGGATTCAGTTCGAGATGAATGAACTCGAAGAGTTATCATCTCGAGGGGGAGAATTAAAGGAATCCCACATCGACAAAAAGTCGATGAATTTTTGTGAGTTTGACACCCCAGAGCGAGACAACTCTGGTAAAGTCATATCCTAAAATTACTTTTTGATAAAGTGGAACATCTAAAAATGATGTTCACTCTCAAAATGAGCTTTAAGCGAATCGTTCATAACGCAAATCCAAGAGATTGCAAAATGATTCATGGTGATTTAATCTCCATATTTTTATATGGAGCATGCAGTTTTGCATGTATTAATGATTATATATAAGGCCAACGATTTATAAGAAATATTTCTCTCGTGTTATATATATATGATTGGAGATCAAATATTTCTCATTTTGAAATTTATGGGTGTGAGATATATGTTATAAATGCTCTTCCGCACCGCATAAAAATTAACATCCTAAAAGGATGAAATATATAGACGCTAGAGATGAGTCTCTGCTCTACAAATATTGAGCCATCTTATGAGAGATGTGCCTATTGCAAGATTTGCAAATCATCATGTTGATGATAAAAAATTTCCCATCAGTATGGAAGAATCATTGAATAGTTTAGATCTTTGAACAAATAAATATAATAAATATGAACTTTAGAGTTTAAAAGTTCAAAAGGATCACTATTCAGAATATATTGCAAATCAAATGCAAAAAGTTGATGGATGAGATTTCATAAATTATTGATCCTCGTATAAATACATATGAACTTAAAGTTCATAGGAAATCTCTTGTCCCAGCTAAAAATGCTCTACAAAAATTATGTCTCTGGCGGATGACATATTATTGTCTATAACATGATAAAAACGTGATAGACAACTTTGGTTCCAAATATAAAGAAAATCCTCGAAACTAAAAAAAAAAAAAGAGAGCAAAATATATAAAAAGAGGATTATACTCTTAAAAGAGGAGCATATAGACTTCTAAAGAGGAGCATAGGGACTCCTCAACAGGAGCAAAGAAACTCCTAAAGAGGAGTAAAAAGACCGATTTCCATGGTTAACAACGAAAGCAGGTACCTGAATAAAATCATTTATAATGATTAAAAGATTTCGATTAACCATGTCATTACGGCAAATATGGAACCAAAGACAATATAATGTCGACAATAAAAATGATCTAATGCGCAAATGAAATTAATGAGGATCATAAATCTCCGCTCTGTGAGCGTAAAGAGATATATTGGCCAATAAACAAAGACGCAGCCAAGTCTATATTAATCTCGTATAAGAAACGAGTAATTTCCTGGACACATGGTCCAAGCATCAAAAGAGTATTATGATACTTAAGACAAAACGATGTGTCGTGCCGGGTTTTGTCAAAATCACTCGATATTGAGTTGATGAATAAATGACTTGAATTGCGCCTCATGGGATGTCTGAAGGACTAATCCTAAAATATATGATATCATAGTTATATTCCCGGGAACTTATAAGCATGATGTTTTTGAACATCATCAAAACTCTTAAAGAGTTATTTGGAATAAAAGAACTTGGATAGATAAAAGTGTCTCTAGATATTCCAACTAAACATCTAAAGAAAGAGATGTTATATTAGTCACTTCTAAAGGAAATCTACTCTATATAGTTTGATCATGAAGCACTATATATAAATGCTGACGAGTATTTATATATTTTGTGAATTGTAGCTAGCATATATAAATGCTGACGAGCATTTATATATCTAGTGAATATCTTGTACCTAGCATTTGTTACTAATCTACTTGCAGGATTAGTTGATCTATTCCGACTAGACCTTGAATGAGTTCAAATGTGTCTTTCATATTTGCAAGGTACGATTGATTTGGGCTTATTTTATTCTAGAAACCCCGAGTTTGGTTTAGTTGGTTTTGCAGATGGAGAATCTATATCAGCTCTGTCTAAATATATATGGCAAAACAACAACTACGTGGCGTTTCCAACAACAAATTTTGGTCGTCGCTTGCTCAAGCCATGCCAAAATTATTGCGCTCCATGAAGTGCGTCGAAAATCTGTATGGCTCAGATTGATGCCCTCAACATATGCAAGAAGCAAGCAATATAGGCACCAGTGAAGAGCCAACAACAAGACACTGCTGCAAATGTTTCCCAATTTTAAGGAAGCTATGTCAAGAGCAAGATGACAAGACATATTTCTCCAAAATTCTTCTCTTGCACTCAAGAATCTTAGAAGAAGCAAGAAGTTGAGGTCCAATACATCCGGCCAAGTAACAATGTAGCAGTTTTAGTTCAAAGGTGCTGCCTGCTACGTCATTCAAAATGCATCTTTTGAAGATGACGCTTTCAGGGGGAGACGTATGTTGATGAGCGTGGCTGCACTCTTTTTCCCTTATCATGGTTTTTATCCCACTGGGTTTTTCCATGACAAGGTTTTTAACGAGGCAGCAAATAACACGCAAAAGATAGACATCAAAGAATATGTCTATCTCTCTTCAAAAATCTTTGTCATATATTGACGAGATCAGAAGAAGCAAAGAGAATGATCAAGATGCATCATCTACGAAAGCTATGAAGAGAACAAGACTCGTCTGTTCCAGGGGAAGATTACGTCACTGTACTCTTTTCTCCTTATCACGGTTTTTCTCCTATACGGTTTTTCTATGATAAGGTTTTTAACGAGGCAGTACATAATACGTCGATAATAATAAATAATGGATAATTAAGGGGGAGTGTTGAAAAAAGTGGATAATTATCCATTTATCCCTTTCTCCCCAAGTCTCTTCCTCCCCAAGCTATTTCATTTTTAACCTTATCCAATCCAAAACTTCCCCTATATATATGTTGTTTTGTTCATTGTAAACGTTAGTGAGTTGAGAGAGAAAATAAAGAAGAAGAGACAAGTTAATAAGAAAGAGAGTATTGTTTGTTTATCTCACTTCCCAAATTCTCTCGTCTCTCTATCTATAATACAAAATATATATTACATATATACATGTTTTGAGTTATTATTTATAACAATAATGATATAGCTGCGGTGAGTTTTCAATTTATACTAACAATTTGAAGGCTAAAGAGGACTAATCCATTTTGACATATTTTTAGGCATTGTAGAAGTTTGATTTACTCCCTAACACAGCATTGTCGCTGAAGCCTCATCGCGTCGAAAGCTAATGTGTACTAATCACTGTGATTTTAGACTAGCCTTCGGGTAAACAAAACAACGATGCTTTCGATAGGTTAACTTCTGGTGGAGATTTTTGTGTCAGCCAATACGCAACCGGAAAAAGTTGTAACTAGACACCGATCAACAATTGTTTTCCGAATCTGTTTTGTATCCAAAATTGGGTTCACACAGCCAGGTAAACAAAGAACACTTCCAAATTCCTACACCCCATGGTAAATACTTTCAATAGCATTCTATAATATCTATAATACTTTCAATAGCATTCTATAATATGCTCCATTCTTCTTCGGGATTATTTTTTTCTCCTAACATGGCAGATATGGAAATCTAGGAAAGCTCCTACACAATCCCCATCATTAAGGCCAAGAAAAATATTACTGCAGATGCGTCCTGGGAAAATGATATGGAATCAATTGGGATAGCTTGGCTCTTGCACATTAATCAAAAGCATATTGTGATCCGGAGTCGAGAGCTTTCAGTAACTATCAAATGCTGCAAAAGGGGAAATGCTTGCACTATTTCATGTTGTGAAGCATCTCTCCTCTCTAAACTACGATAATATCAGTATTCCTCATGAACTCAAAACAAGTACTGGACCTTCTCAAACTAAGGGAGTAAGCCACTAATACTCCTACAACAACTTATCTAGCACACTCTATCGATCTGCATGGAAGACATCACCAAACTTTCTGCTCACAAGGGATTCTCTTGCTCATATCAAGTTTCATGAAATCCCTTGTGATGAACAAAAACTTTGTACATGTCATTTAATCAATACAAAGGCTCATGGTTTGAGGGAAAAAGAGAAGCAGATGAAAATATCGATACTAGTAGAATAAAACGGAAAATACCCACCAACACCCAACTACAATTGATATACAAAATATAAGATCCAAGAATTAACCCAAGGTGTACAAAACAGGATGTTTTCTCCATCTAAAGTTTGCTTCTACTTGCACTTGCTAGATGATGCGTAGCAAGAAAGATGAGATTGGTGACACTGGTCATGAAGCGAAGGTGCCAAGGAAGATGCCATTGGCACCTATGAGAATTATATTAGCTACACAATGCATGGGAATTGCAGGAGGATACCTTAGTTCTGATGATTGATGCTAAAACTAAAGCAATACCTTGTCACAGGGAATGATATTAATGTGACTGTGGGAGGAGCCTGCAGGTGGGGCAATACCATTTCCCTTTGAATCTGGTCTCAGGTGTGAGGCCAACGCATGTATAGTGAAACCATTCACCTCCTTGGCACTGTCCAAACAGGAAAACGATAAAAAGGTTTCATAATAGCTATTCATTGAAATTAGAAATTAAGATGCTAGCAGAACAGACTCACATTCTCATTGTCGCAGGCAATCATGTCTCCAAAGGACACCTGAAACAAATAACAAAAATGTTAACCAAAGATCACAAGAATATCAAGCAACTCACAGATTTTGCAGAATTATTCAGGACCTGATGGCAGACACAGTAAGTTGGTTCGTTTGGATCGATCGGCTGCTCTTCGATTGGCATGAGGTCTTTCCGATTGCTTCCTGGAGGAGGCATGAGCTCAAAATCTCTATCACGATCCCACTCCCTATCTCTGTAATCAATCTTCTTGGACTGAGGTGTGCCATAGAAGGACTTACGCTTTTCCGGTTTAGGAACTATAGGTAGTGGAGGAAGAACGGAGGGCTCGTCTTGTGGTATTTTTCCCTCTGATAGAGAAGAGTAACAAAAGAATAAACATATGATATTGAAAAAGTTTAACTACTTCATTCAATGCATCATTTAAAAGTTAAACAATAAGACCACGAGAGAAAAATGAAAGAAACACGACTTATGATTTGACAAGACTGGAGATGAGCATTTATGTTTCTCTGAAGCTTGACCCTAATCGATGTGCACTGACTGAAGTTTATGCAGTGGAAAATATGTTTTTACTAACCCTTAGGGGGTTGTTCTAGAGGTCGTTTACAAGAGCTATAAGCAGATGTGACTCTTTATTGATAAAAAAGACGTATACAAGGATTCCCCACAAGAGATTAACTCTTGCCACAAGGATACCCAAAGTATCCTCCAACAAGGTGTATAACCCTTGTCCTTTCATGTAAGACACTAATTTTACAACATAACTCCCTACCTCATATGCTTCCCTCAACCTTTTAGTGAAGAAAAAGGAGATTATAAAATTAGCTCCATATTCTGTCCTAACATGACATGCTCAATCGAGTGACCAACTGATAATTCTCAGACGATCAATTGACCCACATCTTAACATAATTCTTGGAATAATTTGTGTGAATATGCATTATAGAATATGAAAAAAAATTGTTCTAACCACTTCCCTTAAAATGACAGTAATTAGACAGCTCTTGAGTTGACATCACATACCTTGCTTTAAATCTTCTGCAAAATTATTCAGATCTTCATCAAGTCGTTTTACATGACTATCTATCTGCAACCGGAATAAACATAATAATTACCACCAAAACGAAACTGGCTGAAACAACCAAAGGAGCTATATTCAAATTTTAGCAACAAAGTCTACCATTTTCAAGATTCTGAGTGCATTAACGCTCTATTCATGTACGTATACATAAACATCAATTACATGCTAGTGTTTTTTGTGACAGACAACAAATCATTCACACCAATTCGCATGTCTAAGCTATAATCTGAAGGAAGCCTCAGAGGAATATATAGCTTACAAGATCATACGCTTGTCGGGCCAATAAGACCTTCTCCGTACACAAACTTAACGCATTTTCCTGACTAGACTCGATCTCTTTACGCATTTTCTCAATCGTTTCCTCTTCATCAAGACCACCATTATTGTAATGATTACCATTACCCTTTTTAGAACTCTGTGAAGCAAGCCCTAAGCAATACTTAGTTTGCTGCCTTGTCTGATTTATAAGCGCTTTCAACAACAAAACACAAACATAATCAATTCACGAAAACACAAAGAAACATACGCAAGAGAACAATGTAACAATGTAATAACAACATTTTACATTGAGATCTCTCGTCTAGCTCGCGAACTGTGTTTAGTAGTCTTTGTAGCTCTGCAGGGAAAGTGCTTGCATCTACATGAAATTGAATTTCCGAATTGTAGAATTAAAACCCTAAAATCGAACAAATTTTTGAAGTTCGGATTTTTATCAAAATTAGACAAAATTTATCAAATAAGGAGAGGAAATTATTGATCTTACACTCAAGGTAATCATCAACATAAACTCCAGTTCGTGCAATAGCCATCTTTGATCTCTGATAAATTGGATTTGATTATGGAGCTCAGGCTAAGGCTAGGGTTTTGAATTGGGGATTGCGGACGAAGCTTGTTTCTTTTTTCTCACAATAATATTTTTAAAGTTATCAAAGCATACATGGGCCAAAAAACTAAGAAGAAATGATATTGTAACGTCATCAAAGCCCACGTGTCAACAGCTGGAAACAACACAGGTGTATTTAAATGGAACAAATCCAGGTGTATTTAAATGGAACAAATCGTGTGGTGCGTTGTTATACCTCAAAGACACAATATCTATTTAACTTCGACGCTAAAACAATTCAAATAAACTTCCCAAATTATTAGATTTTACATTAAACGTGAAATTACATTGATTTTAACAAAATTAGCCAACTACATTTTCTATATAGTCAACTATATTTGCTGACTATGGATGCCGACTATAATAGCTGACTACAACTACATTTTCTATATAGTACAGATACGTTGGTTAGGTAAATTAAACGTGCGTATACAACTACAACCAGTAAATATAAGTAACTAGATAACAACCCGCACGATGTGCGGGATGAAGTGATTCAAGTAAAATTATTATGATTAAAATTATTATTCGGGACCCAAGATCCGTTTGTGTAAAACGAAACATGTTACAATTTTTTTTTTTATTATTCAAATTTGTGACTATTTCATATAAGAATATGTTTTACCCATGAAATATTTGAACCTTGAATAAAGCTTCAACATGATAAAAAAAGTATTGACGAAATGTTACCATTTATGGCAATATATCTTTCCATATGTTTTAAAGATTTCGAAATTTTGTAGTATAAAAAGAATTTTTTTTTTTTTTTAATAAGTATAAGAAATCCAAAATTTAGCAAAGATGAGATTTGATAGTTTCCAAGCTAAGATTTTGTAGTGTTCCAAATCTAAGATTCTTAGATTATGAATAGATTATTTACGAAATAGTTATAATGTTGCCAGATTTTGGTTTATATACAAATGTGGTTATAATGTTTTTTTTCGAAAAGTTAGAACTCCTCCAAAAAATAGGATTTTAAGTATTCGTAACATATAAAGGAGATTATCTTATTTAATTAAGTTAAAAATTTATGAAAGATGTAAAGATTTTGTAGTTTTGAATTCGAGATTTTTGAACCAAATGTATATATTTTATCATTTAAATATAAACATAAATATAAATATAAATAAAAAGATTGTTTACCCATCCGCTAAAGAAAATTTATATAAATGTATATAAAGAAAAATATAAATATAAAAATATAGTAATATAAGATAAACAAAAAGTGTATGTTTTTAATTATTAATGGGATATATGGATGTATGAGACTAATGACAAATTCTGTAAATAGTCTAATAAATCTTGGGTAATTATCTAAATAGAAGCCAAATCATTGTGAGAGCGACACATCAACGTGGCAATCTTGTTAATAACACATTTTTTTTTTGGTCGGAAAAGGGGACAATTGTCCCCCGAATTTATTAATAAAGAATAAAAAATTACATCAAAACGTGACGTGGGAACGCAGTTCCATTCACATCATCAACCAAAATCCGATTAACAACATCCGGACAAGAATCAAATAAATGCAAGCCTACACCTAACGTGAATGCATAGTTCGCTAACCCGTCTACTAGACGGTTAGCCTCCCTATACACATGCCTAATCCGGACTAACCAGTCCCTTGAGAGAAAGCCTTGGCACAAACGTACCAGGAAAGCCAGAGGGTGAGACTCACTGTGGAAGTCGAAACTAACACAATCGAGATTTGTCTAGGGTTTTAATTTAGAGATACGATTTGCTAGAATTCTCAAAGAACGACAGAATCAATTGATACCAAAGATGGTGTTCTTGATATTATTAAGAAAAAGATGACTTTGATCGTACAAGAGTTTGATCGTAAAAGAAAAAGGTGTTTGTGCTGTGAGAGCTTTGCGTAGTGTAAATTCTAGAGCGATATTGCTTGTCTTCTGCGAGAGCCTTGAATCTCTTTATATAGGGGTGATAAACCGCCTCTCCAGCGATATTCTCGGAAGATTTCCATTTATCTTGAAGTCGGTGTGGAATATCGCGGATCAGGATAATTTCCTTATTCTTCGGAGTTTTTTGGAAGGTTTCCTGATTTAAGTTGATCCTTCGTGATTCTTCCTTATCATTTCAAATTCTCTAAGTTTTTACCCTTCGGATTTTCAAATTTATCCACCTCGACATCTATCCCTGATGCATCTCAGGAACGTATATGGTCTCCTTAGCGACCCA